TTTTGCTTGGAATTATACTAAGATGGAAAAGTGGCCTATCACCAATGAGTAGAGATTTAGTTGAGCATAGGTTACCTATTAAATCTGGTTTTAGGCCGCATAAGCAACCCCCTAGACGTTTTAATTCTAATTTGTATGACCGCATCAAAGAAGAGATTGATCGGTTGTTGAAAGCTAGGTTTATTCAGCCACGTAGGTATGCTGAGTGGATTTCTAACATTGTATGTGTTGAAAAGAAAAACACAGGGAAGATTAGAGTATGCATTGATTTTAGAGACTTGAATAAGGCTACTCCTAAAGATGAATATCCTATGCCTATAGCCGATATGTTGATTAATGATGCTTCCGGGCATAAAGTGATTAGTTTTTTAGATGGTAATGCCGGTTATAATCAAATCTTTATGGCCAAAGAGGACATGTCTAAGACTGCTTTTCGTTGCCCTAGCTTTGTTGGTTTATTTGAGTGGGTCGTAATGACTCTCAGGTTGAAAAATGCTGGCGCTACATATCAACGTGCTATGAACTTGATTTTCCATGATCTTTTGGGCATTATATTAGAAATATATATTGATGATGTTGTCGTTAAATCGGATGGGTTTGATCATCATTTAGCCGATTTACAATTAGCCTTTGAGAGAATGTGCCGGTATAGGTTAAAAATGAATCCCCTCAAATGTGCTTTCGGTGTGTCGGCTGGCAAGTTCTTAGGGTTCATAATTCATGAGCATGGCATAGAGATTGATCCTAAGAGTGTAGAGTCAATCAGGAAATTAAAGGAGCCTACATGTAAGAGGGATGTGCAAAAGTTGTTAGGGAAAATTAATTACTTGAAACAATTCATATCTAACCTTGCAGGAAAAATTGAATCATTTATCCCTTTACTTCGGCTAAAGCATGAAGCCGAATTCACATGGGGGGCAGAACAACGTGATGCTTTTAATAATATAAAGAGATATTTGTTGAGTCCTCCGGTGCTTCGGGCGCCAAAGTCTGGTGTGCCGTTCAGATATTATATTGCTGCACAAGAAAAGGTGATTGGCGCGGTTTTGGCACAAGAAGACGGCGGGAAGGAGTATATCATTGCTTATGTGAGTCGCTGTTTGCTAGACACAGAGAGTAGGTACGTGTTCATTGAAAGGCTATGCTTGTCTTTATATTATGCATGTACCAAATTTAGGCATTATTTGCTATCTAGTACTTGTATAGTTGCATGCCAAACCGACGTGATTAAATATATGTTGCAACAGCGGATTCTTAGTGGTAGAATTGGAAAGTGGGATTATGCATTAGTAGAATATGATTTAACATAAGAATCGTTGCGTGCTATGAGAGGTCAAGTTGTCAACGATTTTATTGTTGATCATAGGATTAAAGATGAAGAAGATGTCTGCCATATTAGTGTATGTTCATGGAAACTTTATTTTGATGGATCGGTTTGTAGAGATGGACAAGGTGTCGGTAATGTTTTGATTTCACCAAATAATGTAGCTTATGAAACATCAGTTCGCTTAGAATATCCTTTCACAAATAACCAGGCCGAATATGAAGCTTTATTGTTCGGCTTGCAAAGTTTAGTTGATATGGGTGTGAGGGATATAGATGCTTTTGGAGACTCTCTTTTGTAGTTCAGCAGATTAATGGAGAATTTCAATGTTTTGATGGGTTGCTGAATAGCTATTTGGACCGATGTTTAGATATAATTAAATCTCTAGATACTTTTACTATCAGCCATATATCTAGAGAAGAAAATTTTAGAGCTAATAATTTGGCCCAACAAGCATCTGGTTACCAGGTTACTAGTGGAAAGTTTTTAATAATAGAAAAACCGATGCTAGCTGTTGTCGAAAGTGAGACCGATCTGGTTGCTAATTCGGGTCTGGGTTGAATTGAGAGTTCTAGAGCTAAACATATTAGTAGTTTTGGGGTACAGGGTGCATCATGTGCTAGTTTAGTACAGCAGCAACCAGTACAGGGCAAAGAAGATTCGGTACATGGTTCACAAATAACCGAATCTGTAAATGAGTTAGAACCTGGTGATTGGAGAAGCCCTATAATTAATTATCTAAAGGATCCAAGTCAAACAAGGGATAGGAAAATTCGGCGTCAAGCTTTAAAATATACTTTGTTAAATGATGAATTATACCGCCGAACCATAGATGGGTTACTTTTGAAGTGCTTGGGTTTTGATCAGTCTAGAATAGCTATGGGTGAAGTACATGAAGGAATATGTGGGACACATCAGTCGGCTCATAAGATGCGATGGTTATTGAAAAGAGTGGGTTTTTATTGGCCGACTATGTTAGAAGACTGTTTTCGATATTATAAGAGGTGTGAAGCATGTCAAAAGTTTGGAGACATACAGTTAGCGCCTGCGGCTATGTTGCACCCTATTGTTAAGCCGTGGCCATTTAGAGGATGGGGTTTAGATTTTATTGGTCAAATACATCCTTCTTCATCTAGAGGTCATCGCTTCGTCCTAGTAGCTACAGATTATATTACTAAATGGACTGAAGCAATTCCTTTGAAAAATATGACTCATAAAGAAGTGATTAATTTTGTATTAGAGCATATTATTCATAGATTCGGTATCCTCAAACTTTGACTTCTGATCAAGGTGCTTCTTTTATGTCTCACCAATTTCATGAATTTACCGAATCATTTAGAATTAAGTTGTTAAATTCGTCGCCTTATTATGCTCAAGCTAATGGACAGGCCGAATCTAGCAATAAAATTTTGATTAAGCTTATAAAGAAAAAGATTGAAGAGCATCTGAGAAGGTGGCATGAGGTGCTTTCGGAAGCTTTATGGGCTCATCGGATATCTAAGCATGGAGCAACTCAAGTGACACCGCATGAGTTAGTGTATGGACAGGAAGCTGTGCTACCCGTGGAGATTAATTTACAAGCTCTTAGAGTAGCCAGACAAAATGATTTGTCGGCTGTAGATTACAGTAATCTGCTGATGGACAGAATAGATGAGGTTCCCGAGGAGAGATTAAAGGCCTTAAGTGAAATTGAAAAGGAGAAATTGAGGGTAGCTAAGGTCTATAATAAAAGAGTTAAGGAAAAATCGTTTCAGATAGGAGATTTAGTATGGAAAACGATTTTGCCTCTTGGAACTAAAAATAATAAATTTGGCAAATGGTCACCGAGTTGGGAAGGACCGTATAGTATTGTAGAGATTGTTCCTAGAAATTCATATTTTGTACAATCTTTGCAGGGAGAGAGGTTGCCTAAAGCGCTCAATGGAAAATATCTGAAGTACTATCCTAGTGTGTGGCAGGAGGCTTGATAGTGGTACGGCCGATATATCTGTGTAAATATCGTCCTGAGTAAAATATTTGGCCGATGTGTTCTTCGAACATCGCCCTAAGTAAAATATATATTTGGCCGATGTGTTATCTGGACATCGCCCTGAGCAATATTATGGCCAGTGGAGCTACAGACATCATCGTGAGGTAAAAGATTGATTCCTAGTATTTTCGGTAAATGCAATTATACCGAAAACAGGGGGGCATGTGTTGGTAGTGTAATTTGGCTAGTTATTTGGTATACATGGTTGGCCAAATTCCTGTAGTCTCGCTGGTGATCCAATTAGTTAGTTAACACATTGTTTAAGCATTATTTCTACAGGGCCAGGTGTGTTCGACACAAGGGATAAATGTGACACGGTCATGATGAAAGACGTGTACGAGGAGGACACAGAAGATTTGGAGGAGGAGATCAGAAAAGATTTTTACCACCGACTAGTTGTTTGGCTGGAAGGTGCAAGTTCTACTCGTATTGCCTGGACAGATGGGTTTTTGATACGTCTGAGGAGCAAGGCCAACAAACCAGAGGATTAACAGGGATATTCTATTCTATTTCCTTACGAAAGAAGTACTCGTACATGTATCCAACTCTGGTTTTGTATTTCTGCCGAAGACCAGGTGGACCCATATATATTATGGGGTGGGGCCGATTGTTGCTCTCCCTGATCAATCGCAAACACAAAAACACATCTACTTTTTTCATCTACGTTTTCCCAGCATAGTAGTTTGTAGTCTTGCCGAACCCTAGCTACCCTAGGGATTGGTTCATCTTTGCCGTTTTGCGCTGAAAAACGGTTGGTTCCCCTCCACGAAAACGAGGATCCTTTGTTGCTTTGCTCGGAAAGCAATCGCTCATCGTTGCGAAAATACGATAGTTATCGTGTTGTTGCGCGGATCAATTTCGCGTGCCAACATCTGGATTACTGGATAGTGTTCTAGTTAAGATGTTGGAATACAAGATACCCATCTGGCACGTCAGTTCCCGGCGTTCATGCTGTGTATGTTCGAATCATATGATTTCAGGGAAAGATGTTGCAACGTCCAAGGACAGGTTAGTACTGAAATTCAGACTAAACTGCGTTCATGCTGTGTATGTTCGAATCATATGATTTCAGGGGAAAATGTTGCAGCGTCCAAGGACAGGTTAGTACTGAAATTCAGACTAAACTGAATATGTGCAAAGGAGCACAGATGCAGCGACTAATGCATGAAGGTTCATAGCAATATTGTTCTGGGCAATTCTGTTCTTCTGGCATTAATGGTGTCATTGTGTCGCTACCGAATTGTGGTTAGCTCACAGCACATAGTCTGATTTGAAAGAGAGATACATTTAGAAATAACGCATGGTTTCGTGGTGTAGATGGTTATCACGTCAGTCTAACACACCGAAAGTCTCCGGTTCGAGTGCGGGCGAAGCCAATTCTTTTTTAATCGCAAAACAGGATTGCCCCTCTCTTTCTTTTTTTTTTCTTTTTTTTTTTTGACCTTGCTTCCACCATTCTTAGACCATCTTGTGCTATCACTTACACAAACATATACTATCATAAGGTAATAATATCAATGCCTTTTGGGATTACCGCGTGAAACGGACATCTTGTGCTACCTCTTAGATATCCTGCAAAAGGTAGAATTAAAGCAATCTGTGTAAACAATTCTTTACACGGGCCTTTTGCTGGTTGCTGCGCTAGCGCTACACTGTTGCCCCTGTTACACAAGAAAAGTTCCCAGGTTTCTCCCGCACAACTCTGTTCCCAAAGGCAGTCAACACTGACTTGAAATTCAGCGCCCTGTGCACCTGCACCGAATCAAATGCTGAACAAAGTTTAATTCCATCATCCACATGATGTAAATCCCAAAATACGAACATGGAGCACGACCCACCTCAATCAGGTGTTCCATCTTTGTATTGTACCAAGAAGTGAAACATCCCTATATTTCTCGCCACAGCCAGACACTACGAGGTACACGAGCACCTCATGGGTGCCATTTGATGTTGCAGCCGACACTACAGGGAACCAAACACAAATGTCAGAAAGCAGAAATGAAATTGTAAGGTGCGACAACAGCGAATCAAATTCTGAGGTAGCCAAAGTGACCTCGGCTTTTGTACAAAGGGCAATTCTTGGCCACTGAGCGCACAGTCAATTGCACGGCTTAGATCCCTGTAAAATTGGGAAAAGAACTTTGAGCACAGGGGGAGACTGCAGAGTTGTGCGCGCGCTAACACAACGTCACAAAATTTACCTTCCAGTTACTAGCACGTTGTTACTGGGTCTTGAATCGTCGAACTGTCCATGGTAGAAAAGTTCAAAAGGCCTTCGCCCATCCTGCTCTCCGATCGACGAATAGAATCAGTTATTATTTGGATATTGCACAATCGGTGAATGCTGGAATCAGTGGTCTTACTTTTTTGAATAAGTAAAACTCAGGTGTGCAGACTGCTCCAAAAGCCTTAGCTACCTCTTGAGACTGTAAGTTGCAGTAGTATCAGTGACAAACAAAAAATAAATAAAATTAGACAGAAGGAAGAACTTCAATGCTGAAAGCATAGCACTTGAACTAAACATCTTCATGGTCATTGAATATCTTTGAATTGAAGGCACAAAATGGCCAGACCTCATCATAAAGATATGGGAAATGATATTTGAACAACTTTGCTTCTTCTGCCATACGTTCTGGGCCATCCTGCAGTAACAAAAAAGTCAATTTTTGGTTCAACCAGAAAACCTGAACAACTGCATGAATCATAGAAAACATATGTCCTGACAAAGGAGCGTGAGAACAGAAAAGCAGAACTGAGGACTCAACTAGTAACTTGTTTGTAGAGCAACCCCCACTGTCACTAAGCAAAAGTTATTGTGTAATATATGCTGTTAAAATTTCCAAAATTTGAGTACCAATATATGTAAGAGCACATTGAAAGAATGCTTGACAGTCTGTAGTTTTGTTTTACCAGAGTAGTCATAGTCAAAGTCTTGCATTCCAGATCTTAACAATTAAAAAGCATGCTACAATAAAATTATGGAGATCCTTATGTTATGTCCAAAAGAAACTCCTGGTCCTGTTTCAGAAAAAAGCATAAAAACAAGGTGACAAGTAAGCAAGCATCGGTTGCAACTCCTAACCTGGGGATGTGTCCTAACTGAGTTGGACGATATGGCAACAGCACCAAGTCCTTTCTGCATATTGTATGTAGAAGTCATATCACAAATGTAAACAGAACAGGAAGCTCTGCCAGCTCTTCCAGGTCGTTACCTCCACATAGAAAGAGGTGAGCTTGGCAATGTCCTTTTTCAGATGCTTTACAAATGGACAGTGATTGCATATGAACATAACCTGAACAGAGAACAATTCAGACGGGGTTCAGAATGTGAACTGCAAGAGCTGACAACAATGAACAATGGAACTGAGCATATATCTGTAGGTTCAGACTCATTTGCACAGGAAATAAAAATTCACTGACAAGCAGTGCAGAGTTGCCCTCGAAGTCGTCCAACGTCCAGAGCTTCCCGGTCAGTGGCTCAGGGAGCTGCACACCCACCCCAAAGACAAGCACACCAGCATCATCAGGCTCAAAATCAAATCTAGATCAGGACTTTAGGAAGCAGCCTGTGGCAAATCGACTGACAGACCTCGAACTCCGGCGCGCGGAAGCCGATGCCGACGCCGGTGGACTCTGCCCGGGCCATGCGCACCCGGAGCCGCCGCAGCCGCCTGCCAGCGGCCGGCGGCGAGGCGAGGGCGCCGTGCGAGCGGCGGTGGAGGAGAGGAAGCGCGATGAGGCGCGGGCGCGATGAAGAGGCGGCGAACGCAGAGGGGAGGAGGGAGGTCGTCCGCGCGCCGGCGACGGAGAGGGACATGGCGCGCGCTGCTCTGCTACACGGCTACACCCCTCCCTGTGTGTGTGGAGCTGTGGGCTCGCTAGCAAGGAAATGTCTGTAGCGATAGCGACCGAAGCTCGTCCTCATCCTATGCCTCGTCTATACACATGTCCAATCGTGCCGCCCCGCCCGGCCCGGCATGAACCCCAAAAAAAACACGGCCCGAAAGGGCCGGGCCTGGAGGTCGGCCCAGGCCTGGCACGGCGGCCAAGCTGTTTTTCCTCGTATTTATATGCAATACAAGTCCATGCAACAGAACATACTAAAAGTGGTAAAGTAAATCCTAAAAGCCTTGTACCAAAGTTTTTAGGCTCTCATAGGTTCTTTGAAGATTCTTGTACGAACTTTAATGAAATTCAAGTAGGTTTGATTTTTTTTTAAATTTAAATAAAATGGCAAGTCTTTTACTCTTAACTCCATCCGGACCAAATCCTTCCTAGCCTACCTTTTTTTTTAAAAAAAAATCCTTGTTTACCATCGAAAAATGATGCAATTCCTTATTTAGCATCGGGAGAAAATGTTCTTCGGAATAGCACTACTTTTATTTTTGGTGCCCTAAATAGCACAGCCATTAGATCTGACCTTAAACAAAGTGTAATGTCAAAATATGTTCAATGTAAAAAAAAAATGGCACTGCTAAATAAAATTGTTAAGAAAATCACTTTAACATGCTATTGATGTTGCATATGAAAAAATAGGGGTAAAATGGTCTTTTCCCCACCAAGTTAACGTCGTGAGGTCAGATCTAATGGTAATTCTATCCAGGGAGCTGCACACCTTTTATCTTCCCAAATGGAGAATTGCATCATTTTGTGATGTTAAATAAAATAATTTCTCTTTTTTTTTCTCTCCCGAAGCTCAACCTAGAACACGTGCCTTGTTATAAAGAGCCAAGGCTGTCACCACTAGGCTGCCAACTGTTGCGCGTCATTTGATATACTACCTCTATCTAAAAGTAAGTCGTCTTAGCAAAAATGAGTTTTTCAAATGTCATCCAACCTGTTCGCTTGTTGGTTTTGGCCAGGGCTTATCAGCCAGCCAACAGTATTTTTTTCTCACAACAAACCAACACCAACAAAACTTATCAGTCTAGAAACCGACCAACGAACAGACCGATCATCTTAGTTTCTCTCCCATATTTGTTGCTCGGGGTTTCCGTGCTCAACACTCCTCGTAGGCAGCCGAATAAATACGTCGCCTGCGCCATCCCATTGAGTTCTCTTAGCTTCCCTCCGTCTAGTATGCTTTTTACTGGGATTTTTTTATATTTTTAATTCTTTTTTATTCAATATTTTAATAATAATTGCTCATAATTTTTGTTTTGCAGATTTAACCCTTTTGGTCGCGTCAATACCGTCGGTGCGACAAAATAACGTTGTCGTGCCACATACATTGGCGTGGCAACACGTGCTACGTTAGATAGTGTTTTCAACTTGAAAAACCTTATTACGCCACTTCCGTTGGTGTGATAGTATTGTTTTGTCACGCCACCGAGTTGCGTGACAAGACTAAATCTTAGAAAAATCATAAAATTTCGATACGACATCGGATGATGAAGATCAACTTTATATGAAAATTGTAGATGTTAATGAAATCTGCAGCTTTCTAGTTTCGATGTTTTTCATTTCAGGACGTTAAGATGCTCAAAACAATAATATAAAATTTCAGGAGCATTATAATTGTGTACTAGTGCTTGTCACATTACAAAAATAATATCTTTTCTGTACGATGTCAAATGATGATACTCTTTATATCAAAGTTGTAGCACTCAATGAGATCTACATCTTTAAAGTTTTGAGTTTTTATATTTGAGATCTTTAAGACGCTCAAAACAATAATATAAAATTTTAGGAGCATAATAATCACGAACTAACGCTTGTCGTATTAGAAAAATAGTATCTTTTTCTATAATGTGTTAAATGATGATACTCTTTACATCAAAGTTGTAGCACTAAATGAGATATACAACATATCGCGTACTACCTAGTGTATGGGCTGCTAAAGCTTTATATTATTTTTTAGAGTATGTTAATGACATCAAATATAAAAACTCAAAATGTCTCTTTCGTATGGATGTTGCAAAAGTAGATCGGGATGTTACATATGTTACAATGATTATACACGTATGTTGCAAACGTCTGTTCCCAATGTTTTATTTTTTCGGACGTATGTTGCAAGTGTGTTTGTCTGGGTGTTGCATATGTTTCACACATATGTTGCAAGTGTTTTATCTGGATATTGCGTATGTGTTGCAATGGTTTTCAAGTGTTTCATGTGTTTTTGCAAGTGTTTCAGATGCATGTTTTATGCATTTTATATGTCTTCAGACGTATGTTGCAAGTGTTGTATCTGTATGTTTCAAAAGTAGATCGGGTGTTGCATATCCCTCCTCACCTTTTGTTGCCTCGCATTGATGTATCCTCCCTGCCTTCTGCTGTTTTGCATCCTTCTCAGACTGTGGCGGGGGTGCGGCGGTGGCCAGTGAAGGGGGCACATTGCGGGATGGCGGCGCGGACGCGAGCGCATGCTCCCCCTTCTGTTACAGGGCAGGTACACTTCGGTCCCTTTAGTTTTTCTGTTATACGGATGATGAGATGGGACGGTCCTATTGGTGGGCCGTAACGTCAGCCCATGGTTCGGTTGGCTGAGCTGCGTTCGGACGCGCTATTAACGCCAATCGTCCGGGCGCTAGTGCTTGCGATATGCTTATATGCATGAGACTTATATGATTTATTAGACTTTCGAACGGACGACGACGGATGGAGTATATGATTATGTTAATGTAAAACTAGGCACAAATACCACTAATCCATGTAACTTTATATTTTTTTCAATAAAAATTAACGTACCCTTGGTTTCTTATGTTTGTCAAAGTAAATGATTTCATTATATTTTTTAGGCAATAGTATGCGTTCTCGAGATTTTAGGTGTATTTGTGCCAATTTATCGGATATTTTTGAATTTTGAACAACATGTCCGTTATTTGGTCTTCATTTAGGAGGATATATTCTTGGTCTTAACTCTATTCAATAACATGTTTTAGGGTGGCTATTAATTAAATTTGTCCTTTTTATGGGTTCTTCCTCTCGATGTTCTTTCGATGGATAGTAAATCTCGTTGTCAGCGACGAATGGATTTTGCGGTCTTCAAAGCGTTTGTATGACGAGGGTGTTTGCAGGTGTCCCTTTCCTCTCTTGTCTTTTCAGTGTGCTCTTCAACCTTCAACAGGCAATGGATGATCAAAGGAAGAAGATGACCATTTTGATCTTCAATGTACAGTCTCCATCCCTTAAAAAGTATTGTTCTTGCTTCCCGATAAGTCCGATGCTTTTTACTTTGACCAAATATACATAAGAAAATATTAATATTTATAGTACATAATTAGTATCATTAGATAGATCGTTGGATATATTTTAATAATAAATTTATTTGGTGATACAAATGTTGTTAATATTTTATACAAATCTAGTTAAACTTAAAAAAGTTTAACCGGCACGAATACCATAACGACATTTATTTTGGGACAAACGGAGTATTCTTATTTTTAGAGGTCATTTTATGTTAAGCTGTCCTTTTGTATAAGCTATTGTTTTTCTTCATATAAATCAAATACGAGACCCTTTCTTAAGTGTCTTAAAAAAAGAAGGTATCCTGTGTCGTAGGATTTAGCGTCTGAAAATATATCAACGTCAATTTTATGCTTAGAGAATGGATAGCACACGGGGTAGATTTGGGCCTCGCTCAAAAATCCCGAGTATTATGCCCTTTAAATTATTTGGCCCAAGGAAGACGAAGGTCTCGGGGTGAAACACTTGGCCACCCAAAACACCTGCCTCCTTCTGTAGCTGATCCACCGTCTTCAGCATCGCAGTCTAAGACTGTCTCCAACGGGCCAAACCTAAAAACGAGACGCATATCATGATTTGAGTAGCGCACAGCGAAGGGTCGTGGACGCAAAAAATCGTGTTTTCCAACAGCCGACGCAAACGAAGCTCCCGTCGCCTCCCCTTCCTCTCTCCCTCTCCCTCTCTCTCCCGAGGTGGCGGCGCTGCGGCGGGTCCCGAACGCGGCGGCCTCCCTGCGCTGCAGCGCGGGCTTTCCCCCTCTCCCTCTCTCCTACTGTGGCCGCTCATGGTGCTCAGCGGCGGCGAAGGTGGACCCCGCGGAGCCTCCTTAGCGCCGGGCGGGCAGGAAGGGGCTGGGCGCCGTGGGGCCTCAGATCCGGCCGAGCCCGTGCGCAGGGTGGCCGCGGCGGCATAAAGCAGAGCCCGGCGGTGCTCGATGCGGGCGGCGGCCATGCCGCGCACGCGCGCGCGCCCTCGCGTGGGTGAGTCGCGGGGTCAGGCCTGGGAGGGGAGAGGGAGGAGGAGGAGGGGGGAGGAGGAGGGCGCCGGCGCCTGGGCTTTCTCCGACGCGGCGGCGAGCGGGCCACCTCAGCGGTGCGGAGGCATGCGCGGGCGGGCCACAGATTTGCTTAGCGACGAGAGAGGCAATGTTTTTTTGCGTGTTGTTTGGGCTCGTACCAAAAATGGATCATGTATTTGGGTTAGCCGTTGAAGAGGGTTTTTGGTACCTAAAGCACTGTGCGGGACGTATTTTTGGGTTTGGGTCTCCCCGTTGGAGACAGTCTAACCGACGACAGGTCGTGCTCCAGCGCTTGTGCGCGACCTGCGCCCATGCAGCCTGGCCTGGCCTGGGCCCACGCGGCCTGGCCCGCCTGCTGGTTCCGTTCCCACGCGGCCTGGTCTGCCTTGCATGCAAGGCCGTGCATGAAGCTTGATACAGATATACGACACTTGCTGCAGCTGGTAGAGGGTTGCTCCACTCATTTTTTTGTTCTGTTTTCTTCCTTTTAAAAATGCGATAACTTTTTTGTACCTAGTCTGTTTTTAGTTTTATTTACACCATTATATTTGTACCTATATTTTGGAATATACTTTATATATAATGGTAACTTATGTTCTACATATAGTAGCTAC